GACAAATTTAGAAGCTCTCTTACACCACACACCACCGAAACTTTGATATGCACATAAGATTGACTACGTGTTACACTGTCATCCTTGCAAGAGATGCCCATTCATGACCTATAAGTAGAAGAGTTGCTCGTGTATTTGGAGAATTTAGAGCATGGTAACAATTTCCCTATTTAATTAGTTATTTAGTTTATAACTTTTTGCTACTTAACCTTTAACAATATGTTAAAATGCTTTTTCTTTTGCAGGTTATATTGCAAAGGGAAAAAGGCATGTAATGATTCGGTCATGGATGAAGCATGAATTAACTTTTTGCATTTTTTAATGTAAAATGCATTTTTAATGATTTTTTTTTCATTTTTTAACGTAAGATGCTGGTTTGTGGATGATTGTCTCTTTTTTGTATTTTTTTCTTTTTGTAACTACGTACTTTTTTATTTTCACTTTTTATATCAATCCACACTCAGTTTTGATATCATTCTTTTATCATAATGGTTAACCAATATTAACCATTAACCGACTAAAATCATTAACCATAACCAATAGCTACCAAAATGGATTAACCCATTGTAATGGTTATGGGTCGGTTTTGACTTATAACTAACCAAACCTCAACATACACACACCTAGTCTATATGGTTTAAGGAATGCTCTAAGGCAGTGGTACTTGAAGTTTGATAACATCATATATAGGAGTGGTTACAATGGATGTGAGATGGATCATTGCTATTATTTGAAGAAATTCAAATCCTCAAACATCATCATGTTGTTATACATTGATGACATGTTGATCAATGGATTTGATATGCAGGAGATCAACAAGCTTGGGAAGCAGTTTGGCCAATTAGTTTGAGATGAAGAACATAGGGGTGCTTTGCAGACATAGTATTGTCTGAAATGAGGAGCATGGTATCTAAGTGACCAAGAATAATTATGGTAAGTCAGATGAAAATAAGGAGAGACAGACTAATGCATCTGATGATAATGCAATGAACTAAAAGGTGGAATCGTGAAGCGAGTAACTGGTTTTAGTAGTGACATGTTGCTTAGGAAGGACAACAGGCCTAATTTCTAGATATGGTTCATATGGTTCCAACTTAAGGATTGGGGGTGGGTTGCAGCGATAGCATGGGTGATGCTTCTCCGGGCATCTAAAACATAGACCTTGGCTCCTATAGGATTTGACTTTTGTCACGTGTTAAACATCGAATGGGAACGTTGATGGGGTGTTTTGATGGCATGGGAAGTAGGGCTGGGGTGGTGGTGGTGAACGGAGTGACAAGCGGTTTAGTTGTTCGAGTGGTGAAAGGGGAATAATGGTAGGGCTGGTGGTGAGGCCGAGTTACTGCAAACTTGTCTCCGATTAAATTATATGCTTGATGAAATAGTTAAGGAGAGCGGATTAGGCAACCTGACAACGCAATTGCTAGTTCTTCCAAACTCTGTATGATAGGCAACAACCATAGTTAACTAGTGTCATACCCGTCCGTTGGACAGATTGACAAATGTATAAAAAATAAATTGATTTTTATTGGTTTTGGTTTTTGTGAACCAAAACTTTTGATCCAATAATCACTATTATGCCATTTATTCTTGAAGTAATACTTCCAACTTTTTATGGAATTCATGGAACTCAATGCTCTTCTAATTTATTGACATAAAATACCCATTATGTCATTTCTTCTTTAAATCATCCTAACAACAAATTTATCTTAATTTGCTACCATCCTTACCTTTTTCCAATTCCATATTCATAAAAATGATCATGTTGATAAGAAATTCATCAATTATCCATGGACTTGCACAACCTATCAAGAAAATATCACCATCAATCAAAATTCTTGCAATCTGTTACTATACATTATAAAATGACAAATCCACCAAAATAAATAACTCATAAAAGAAATAAAAACCATCAAAACACAATAAAATAAAAAGAATAGCAAGTTACGTACTGAAAAAAAAAGAAAAAGAATACATATTACATAAAAAAAATACATCTTGTTGCTTTTGCAGCAACCACAACCACTGTATTCAACAATGACACATACGCACACACCTACACATCTCATACACCAATGTACTTTATGCATAAGGTTTTTTCTTCTTTAAAATAGTTCCCACAATGGGTGAATACAAAAAGTGGGAGATAATTTTGTATGGGAAAATGACTTATGAAGGTAACCAACTATTTCGATTGTCCACATATAGGTAATGTTCTTTTTTTTGTTCTCATTAATGAAACCAACTTGTTATTTATGTTCATATTTAGGTAATATGACCGGCTATTACCTGTTTTTGCTTATGTGGCAGCCATCTGGCACGTGACTTGAATACCTTGCACCTACGTGGCATTGTGCATATATTCTCTTCGTTTACAGTATAAGAAGTCATTCAATTACACCCCTGATTTTG